GGCCCGCCGTGCGCGCGCGGAGCAGCTCCGCCGCTGGCACGTCGAGCAGGGGAGATGGTGCGCCCCGCCGTGCTCACCCGCGCACGCGAAGGCCCGCCCCCCACGGCCCCACTGACCCGCAGAGCCGCCCGTCTCCCCTGTCGCCCCCCCCGCCCCTCCGCCCCCCCCCCCGCTGCACACAGGGAACTCACTCCCCCGGAGCGAGCGCGCCGGGCCAAGCACCCCTTTCTAAACCAGCCGCCGGTGCCGTCGCACCCCTTGCCGATCGTGACCCCGCCGCTGGCGTCGGCCGGCGGGGCCGGGCACCTTGGCGGGCACATCATCCTCAACCAGGAGCAGGTGACCTTCGACGCGGCGCAAGAGGCCGCCGCCGCCGTGGTCACCCCGTACAACCTCCATGAGGTGGTCCAGTCGCTGCGGCTGTCGGACCCGGTCCTGTGCCCGCCGCCACCGCCGCTGTCGGATCTGTCCAACGGCCCGATCGAGGTGCCGGCCGACCCGGCGGCGACGGCGGCGGCGGCCGCCGAGCCGGATGGCGATGCGCCGTCGGCGGCGACCGCCGCCACGGCCACGGCCACGGCCGCCGCCCCGCGCAAGCGCTTTCGCCGGCCGGTCTTCGCCCCGGCGGTCCTCCTCCGGGACGCGGTTTCGCGCAATGACACGGCCGAGGCGGCGCGTTTGCTGGCAGCCGGGCTGGTGAGCCCGGCCGAGGCGCGCGACCACTTGCGCGTCGGCCTCCTGCACATGGCCGCGGCCAATGACAATGCGGCCCTCTGCTGGCTGCTGCTGATGGCGGCTCGTCGCGATGCGGCTGCCGCGGCCACCGGACGCCGGGTCAGCCCCGGGCTCGGGGTGGCCCCGATCGACCGGGCCTACTCGGCCGGGGAGTGGAGCCTCCCGGCACCGCCGTGCGTTGCGCGCCTTTGTCCTTTCCCCGCGTCCCTCCCTCCGCCCTGTCTCCCGTGCCCTTCTCCTTTGCCCTTCCGCGCCAGCTCCTGCCCCCCTGGGAGGAGGGACAGGGGAGCCGCCGCCTTCCCGATGCTGACCCGGCTTCGCTGCCCGCCGTGCCCACAGCCACTCCTTCACCGCGGATAGCGACTATGTCGACGCCCAGGATGTCGACGGGTGGACGCCCCTGCATGTGGCCATCTTCTGGGGGGCATCGCGCGCGGCGGCCGTCCTCCTGGCGCACGGGGCGTCCTTGCTGAAGACCAATTCCGACAATGACACGGCCCTCGACCTGGCCGAGAGCGACAGCAAGCTGTCGCTGGCCCTGCAACGCGTCTTCCGCCAGCGGGGCCACACCTCGGCCGACCTGGATTCCGCCCGTAATGCCGAATACCAGCGCCTGTCGCACGAGATCGACCTGCTGGAGACCTTCCCCGACCGTCTGCACCTCATCGACCGGGTCATGTACGTATGGGCCGCTGCTGCCGCCCCAGTCGTGTCGGGGGCGCCCTGGCCGGGGGTGTTTTGCCATGTGCCCTGCTCGCTCTTCACCACGGGGGGCCTTCCTTCGCTCCTCTCTCTCTCTCTCTCTCTCTCTCTCTCTTTGTCTCTCCGAGCTCGTGTATGGGGGTTTGTGCTGACTCGCTGGCGCATGTCCAACTTCCCCCCCACCCCCCCCCGCCCCCCCCACCCACCGTCGCAGCCCGGATTGCCCGGGGTACGGCACCCTGCTGCACATCGCCGCCTGCAAGGGCTACGTCGACCTGGCCAAGCGCCTGCTGGATCTGGGCGCCAGCCCCAATGCCCAGGCCTTGCTGCCGGTGCCCCGGCGAAAGGTCGGCCTCTTTGGGCACTATGCCCTGGTGCCGTTCCTGGTGCCGGATGCCCTGGCATCGGTGGCCGCCGCCGCCGGGGAGGCCATCTTCCTGACAAGCGACCCGGCGGCCGGGGTGCCCGACGCCCTGGCCGCGGTGATGGCCGGCTCGGCGTCCCCCGCGGCCGGCCCCGGGACGCCGGGCGCCCTGTCGCACAGCTCCAGCTCGGACCTGAAGTCCTCCGGGTCGGATCTGAAGTCCTCCGGGTCGGGCATGGACTCGGGGTCGGATTCCGACGGGTCGGACCTGGACCCGGATCGCACGATCGACAGCACGCCGGCCGATGATGAGGACCCCGGGCGCACGCTCTTCAATGATGATGACGATGGTGCTGGGGCAGCGGGCGCCCCTGTGGCCGGCACGACGGCGGCCCCGGCCCCGGCCCCGGCCCCGAGCAATGCCGCTGGCCCCGGCCCTGGGGCGGAGGACGCCGCATGTCTCGCCGGGTCGCCGCCGGCCCCCGCCAGCGTGGGCGCCACCGGCGACGAGGTGATCCTGGTGGGCGATGCCTGGACGCCGGCGCACGCGGCGGCCTTCTGGAACCAGCCGGACATCCTGGAGCTTCTGGCGCGGCATGGGGCGCATTTGATCATCGAAAATGTGGACGAGATCTGGCCCGCCCCGCAGCCGAGCTTCTCCTTCGACCAGCTGCTGGCCCTGAAGGAGGGCGAGTGCCCGCCGATCTACCACCCGCCCCCGCCGCCGGGGCTCACGCGCACCGCCCTCTCGGCCTTCCACTATGCCAGCAACCGGGCGGACTTGCAGAAGCTCATCCGCGAGTGGCATCACGCCCAGCGGGGCGAGGCCATGTGGGCCTCCGGTGCCGGGTTCGACGATGGGGACTTGCTCTTTGATGGGGGCCTGGCCGGGGGGGCCGGCGCCGGCCGGGGGGAAGATGCCCTGGCCGGTGGCGGTGCCCCGGGCGCAGCAGGAGCCGCAGCAGGCCACTTCGGCGTCGGCAGCAGCACCGCCTGGCCGGAGGGCATGGTCTCCGGGGCCGAGCATCCGGGGTCGCTCTTTGCGGCCCCCGGCGCGGGTGGCCAGTCGGGCTTCGGCCTGGTGGCCGGCCCCGGGGCCGAGCATCTGCCCCATCACTCGCAGCATCACGCGCACCCCTTCCATCAGGACCCCTCCTCGGGGCAGGCGATGCTCTATGCCCTGGATCATGGGGCTGGCAGTGGCGGCGGCGGCGGCGGCGGCGGCGGCCCCAGCATGGCGCACTCGCATCTGACGCACTCCCACGGGCCGGGGCTGGCGAGCAGTCCCCTGGCGGCCGGGGCGCCGGGGTCGCCGCGCGGCGGTTCGGCCGATGCCCATGGCAGCGGGGCCATCGCGTCCGCGGCCGACCGGTCCAGCCACTCGGGCCTGGCCAATGACACTGGCCCCCCGTCCTCGCATCATCACCATTCCTCCCCCCCCTCGGCCGGTGGTGGCGGTGGCGGGCCCACAAGCGGCGGCCCGGGCAGCGGCTCGCCCTGGTCTTCCTCGCCGTCGCTGCTGTTCCTGGAGGTCACGGGCGAAGCGCAGGCGGCCGGGCTTCCGGCCAACGGCGGCGGCAAGGGCTCCCCTTCCTCCTGCGCTCCCTTCTCGGGCTCCTTCTCCGGCAGCCCGCTGTTTCACACCGTGCGTGTCTTCATCTGCTCGGGTGTTCACTTGCCCTCTCTCTCTCTCTCTCTCTCTCTCTCTCTCTCTCCTCTTTCCCCCTCCTGATTGTCCATGCTGACCTCCTCCTCTGCTCGGGATCTTCCACGGCTCGCAGATTCTCTTCGCCCTGCGGCTCTTCGGGCTGCTGGTGTTCATCAGTTGCTTCACCATCGGTGTCTGTGTGGCCACTCTGCACTTCGTCGGGCCGTGTGCCATCCCTGGCTTGTCGCCGCTGGCCGGCGTGCATCCTTCCGAGTGCGGTGTTCTGCTGAGCACTCGTGCGTACACCCGCGCCCCCGGCGCAGCCGTGCTTGGTTTTGCCTCGCATGCGCTCCTTCCACCCGTGTCTGGGCGTCGCCTTTCGCCCTCTCCCCGGCCCCTCTAACATGTGCATTTGCGGTCCCCCCCCCCCCCCCCCTTCCCCCCGACGCACAGCCTGCCAAAACAACCTCTCCTGCCAGCCGTGCGCCATCCAGTCCGGGTGCACGTGGTGCTCGGAGTTCGAGGTCCTCGAGACCTCCGAGATGTCGCTGACGCTCGGGCGGCCGGACGACCCCGGCTCCGGCGCCGAGCTTGCTCGGTACAACCCCCACCAATTCCGGACAAGCATCTGCCTGGAAGCCAATGAGTGGGGCAAGCCGGCCAAGCTGTGCTTCTACTCGCGCACGCCGCCCGCCGAGGGGGGCTCCAGTGGCGGCAGCTCGTCGGCGCATTCCGCCTCCGCGAACCCCATCTATGGTGGTGGTGGTGGCAGCGGCAGTGGCAGTGCGGCCATCATCATGGTCGACCCCCTGGCCGGGGCACTGAGTCTCGAGCAGGCCCTGGCCACGCAGTACACCGGCACCCTGTACCACATGTGCGGGCGGTGCCTGTCCTACAGCCATGGCCAGTGCAATGTCTCCACGCAGGTGCTCTACATCGGCGGGTCGCTGCTACTGGCCACCGCGGTGTTGCTGATGGCTGTGGCGTCGATTGTCTGCCTGCGCTGGCATCGGCAGCGCCTCGGCCTGCTCCGGTCTGGCGGCGGCCGGGGGGACCTCCTCCAGGCCGGCGGCGCCCTGCACAAGGCCGGCTCCTCGGTGTCCGGTCGGCGGTCGCCCAGCAGCAGCAGCAGCAGCGGCGGCGGCGGCGGCGGGGGCCTGCCCCATGGCATGGCATCCACTGACGGCGGCCGGGCCTCCTCCTCATTGCCCGGCGCCGCCCGGTCGCACCACCCCGCCGGCGCCTTCGAGATGGATGAGCTCCCGCCATCGCGACCGGCCCCAGGTCCACCATCCCATAGACCGGACCCCGCGGCCGGGGTTGCCGGCGGGGGCGGGCCCGGGGGCGGCTGGCCCTCGCCCTCCCCCTCGCCGTCGATCTATGCGGCGTCCATCCAGTCCGGCTCGTCCAGCCAGTCGTCCTCCATCAACACCATGTCATCTGGCGGGTCCTCCTCGTCGGTGTCCTCCACCGGCAGCCACGACCTCCTGCTGGCCAAGCAGCACTTTGCGGACCCCGGCGCCAAGTAGACCCCCGGGTTCCTGCTGCGTGTGTGTCTCGTTCTCCCCCCCCCCCCCCCCCCTCCCTCTCTGCGATGCGTGTGTGTGTGTGTGTGTGTGTGTGTGTGTGTATGTATGTGTACACCTCTTGCCTCGACTCCCCGGTCGTGCCGCCCCCCTCCCTCCTGTCCTTGTATATCTCCCCCCCCCCCCCCGCCCTTCTCGTGTGTTGCCTGCCTTCTTCACCAACACTGTCCTTGTTCTCCGTGTTCTGTGGTGTGTATGTGGTTCTTTGCGCGTCTCTCCGATACCATGTGTGTGGGGGGGGTTCTTTCTTGTGCATTATCACATGCGCCAGAGGGCGGGATGGAGTCAGGGCCTCGTGTCAGGGCAGGCGCTCCTCCACGAGCACCGTGCACACCAGCAGGGGCCGGTGGCCGGCCGGCAGCGCATCAGGCACATGGCGGTCCGCCTGGGCAGGGGGGTCCGAAAGGCGGAGCCAAGCGGGCGCGCCGTCAGCCAGCAGGTGGATCTGGCTGGCCACCGCACGGGTGCCGTGCTCCAGCGGCGACCCGCCGAGGCCGGCGGCCCAGGCGCCCTCCTCCTCCAGGGGAAGGCCCTCCCTGGCCAGGTGCCAGGTAGAGTCGATGACCGACAGCCGGTCCGCGGCGGCCAGATGGCCGAAGGCCCGGGCCACAGCGCGCAGGGCGTCTTCCAGGCTCGGCAGCGCCGGGCCCTCGGCGGCCAGCGACAGCACAACGCTCGACGGGCCGCGGTGAAGCCAGAGACCGGCGCCGGCCGGCAGGAGCCGCTGCCCGTCGTCGGCCGGGGACCAAGTCGGGCTGGCAGCCGGGGGCCCGGCCGGCAGGCCGGCAAACACCGGGTGGCAGGCGTCCAGGAAGTCGGCCCCGGCCCCGGCGCACACAACGGCCGGCGGGGCGGCGATGCCCCGGTCGGCGAAGGCCCCGGTCCAGATGGCCCGGCAGAGGGCAGCCTGCGTGTCGGTCAGCAGCCCGGCCAGGTGGAAGGCCGTCCCGGCCAGGAGGTGGCCGAAGCTCCGGCCCGGGGGGGCCGGGGCGTCCTCGTCCTCCTCGTCCTGGTCATAGGCCGACGAGTCGCCGCCCGGGCGGTCGGGGGAATGGCTGCCCGGGAGCAGGGCATGGGCCAGGGCATGCGCGCAGCCAGCCGCATGGGCGGCCAACACCTGGGAGGTGGCCGGCCAGCAGGCGAAGTCCGCGCACACCGGCGTCCGCCGGGCAAAGGCCCCAGGCCACAGGTCACATAGGCGGTCAGCCAGCAGGGCCGCATGCCGGGCGACCAGGGCGAAGCGGAACCCCGGGCAGTGGCATGCGGCCGGCTGGCCGGTGTGCGGCAGCCGGGCCTCCAAGGCCGAGGCCACGGCCAGCCCCCGGGCCCCGGGCCCGGACTCAGGCCCGACCGAGGTGTCCGGGCGAATGACCGACGCCAGGGAGGCCCCGGCCGGGGCCGGCGGCAGCCAGTAGGAGAGGCTCCCAGCCGACAGGGCATCACGACTGACCGACCGATCGGTCACCAGCAGAACATGCAGGCCGAACACCGGGCCGGCATCCGGGCCGAGCCCGGCCAGCGGCATCGGCGGCAGGAAGCCCACCGCCGGGGGGGAGGGGCTTCCGGGGATGGCTGCCACCAGGCGCGTGACATCGCGGTGGAAGGCCTGCCGAGCGGCCGAGCAGGCGGAGCCCCCCTCCGGGAGCCAGGTGTGCAGGGTCCAGCGAGCCGAGTGGGCCAGGTCAAGCCCGGCCTCGGCCAGGAGGGCGGCGGCGCGGGCCACCAGGCGCTCGGCGGCCGACTCGCCGGCGGGCCCGGCCCCCGGGACGGGGCCCGAGTCCAGGCCGGTGGCCACGGCGAAGCCCCGGCCGCGGATGACGCGCGGGCTTGAGCTGGCCAGCCAGGCTGGCAGGGCCGCCACCCCGGGGGAGGGCCACGCGGCCGGGGCGCAGGCCGGCGCTTCGGACGGCCGGTCCCGCAGGGCCACCGCCCCAAGCCCCGGCCCGGGCAGGGCACAGAGGTACCCGAGCTCGGCCGCGATGGCCGGGCACGCGGCCGCGGTGGCCGGGTCGGCGAGTGGCCAGTGCGGGCTGGCCGGGCGCTGCAGGACCCCGGGCCCGGGGGCCTGGTCGGCCGCCGGCCAGAAGGTGCCCTGCTCCTTGGGCTCGGTGTGGGCGCGCAAGATGCGCAGGTGTGCGACATCCGGGTTGCCATCGTCATACTCGACGGCCGTCTCGGCACTGAAGCGACGAGCGGAGGGGGGGGGGGGGGC